AACATCCCTTTCCCTTGCTTACAGACAAAGATCCCAGCTACACCCTCTAGAAAGCAAATCAAGCCCACAAAATTAACGAACAGAAAATATGAAATGCAACATCAATTAGTCCATGCCATGAAATACAAAACTCTAGGGAGCATCGTCGATTTAGGGAGCATGCATAACAAAGATGCAACTCCTCAATGGGAGAGCACGATATGAATCTACAACTATAATAAAGAATAAGGCATATTCACAAACGCCAGCAACCATCAGTTATTAACTCAATGGTTATTTTCAATAATCTTCAAGTGACTGGCAATTACAGTTCTACCAAGAAATAAGTAAGGTGCATCATTATCAGAAAGGCACACAATTATCTTTCTATCAACATCAATATAAACAATATCGATCATAAGAAAGTATGTGCAATTACAAATTTGGCAATAAAACACGTGAAACCACTAAACATATGGAGGTAATCTTCTCTTTACCAAGTTCATCTCATTACTCAAAAGTTACATAGCATAAAAAAAACCATTGAAAAAAAGTATGCATGATGAATACAATAGATACCTCCATGACAAGAATCCTCACTTTTAAAGCATCAGTATTGTCTGGGTCAGCAATTAACTCAAGATCTTGCCATGAGACACTCAGCTCTGTCATGTAAAAGTTTAAAGATTCAAGATCTGAATTATTAATGGCTAGCGCATGAAGCCACTGGAACCAATATTGAGAATTTACTGTAAAGGAAAATATGTCATCGACACAGTGTAATACAGATACTAGCTAGCAATTGTTTTCCTACACACAAATTTAACAATCAGAACCAACCAGTTAGATCAAATAAATCTAGCCCATATGTTTACCTCCTTGTAGAGCAATGAGCTACTTGTGGGAACTCCCAAGAAGAGCCATGTCAATCCATTGAACTGAAAAAGGGGAAATAGCTAGGATTTTAACTTTCAAATATATGCCAAACTTTTAATGAAATAACTAAACACTATTTAAATAAATAAGAAGAAACACAGCTCTATTAATTGATATAGCGAAGACCTGCAGGATTGACAGCAAAACCACATTATCCAATAATCTAAAGCTATTAGGCGAAAGCATTTTGAATATGACTTGACTCAACCATTTTAAGTACTCATCCAAATACAAGTAAGCAGACTAAAACATGAGTAAAGAATGGGGAAGACATCAAAGAGACTAGTCCACATAAATTATTATTACTATCTTTGATTACATGTTGAGTATTACCTTGTAATCATCATGCTTCTCAAAGAACATTTTCCATAAGAAACTACGGAATGGAGCAATTCCGGTTCCTGTTGCAAGATGCAAATCCAATAACAGAAATGTTCACAATTTTTTTATCGAAATAAATAGATTACTAAAGATAAATAAATGAAATAATAATACCATTATAATAGTTGCATTTGGATCTTTGGGCATAAGCATTTCTTTCCCAACCGGTCCTGTAATCTTCACTTCAGCTCCCGGCTTCATGTCACCTGCAACACATTAGCATAATGAGACATCTTGAATATTATCAACCTAATATTCAAACACTAAAGCATAATAAACTTCACAAATAAACTTATAAACAAGTTTGTACATATGAAATTTGAGCAAACCCCCTTAACAATCTCTCCCTGATCATTGGTATAAACCAACCTCCTAACACAAAGAGAAACCTGCACAAAACATGTTTACTCTCAATAAATCCTACAAACAACATGACAAGTAATTATGAATTGAACAATCAAGATTTTGATATCAAGATTTTGATATCAATCAGAGAAAAAAGAACTTCCCCTAATCGACAAAAAAACAAATTAAAAATAGATTTCAAAAGCTACCAGCATCATAATTAGATTATAATCCTTCAACAGAAAAACCGAGCTATCACTAAGAACGCCTATCACACCAATTTCATTTGCCCTGAGCTCAAACAACTATACTAGTAGAAAGAAATACAAGCATCATGATCAAATCAGCAAATATGGGATTCTTTACGATACATATGGGTTTAGGGACAAAATCAAAATCTAAGTTAATATAGAAAATGCAAATTAAGGAGGAGGTTGGGAGAACTGACCAATTTCACATAAAAAATGAATTTGAGTGATTCTAATGTAATAAGGGAAAATAGAAAAAGAAAAATTAATAACCATGCAATCGAAAATCAAACCTGGAGAGGGCAACGCCGGCGGTGGAGATGGAGGAGGAGGGGGGATGAGGAGGATCTCGGCGCGGCGGGAGAGGGATCCGTCGGGGTTGAGGGAGGTCTGGAGGTTTTGGTGAGCGGCGGCGTAGAGATGAGAGAGAGAGCGGGAGGGATTTGGGGGTTCTAGAGAGAGAGGGGGTTTGTCCTGGTTGGGGATTTTTAGACGGAGAGGGGAATAAAAATAGGCGGGGAATGAAAAAATAGGCGGGCAAATGAAAAACCTGGGGGAGGATCCGTAAATTTTTTTAGG